TTTGTTCGTAAATTACCTTATACATTTTTACATACTATTTAATTTTTTAGAATTTGAACTTGCAGTCACATGCTATAGTAAGTAATTTGATTTGACTTAACAACATATTTTTTTTATAAATACATTGATTTTCACTCAACGTAATCACATTTTTACAGTATTTATTATAAAAGTGTGTTAGTCTGTAATTTTGATTTTAAAGTAATATGAAAAATAAATTATTACATAACATTCAAGTATATAGTTCGATATTATAATTGATTAGGTGTTACTTGAGATGACTTCGTACTGGCTTGTGTTTTCTCCGTCTTACTAATACATAATAATATATCAAAACTTACGTCCAGCAGTTCAAATAAGTGCGTGTGACTATATATTTGATAAGAGTGAATTGACCTATTATCAAACTTAAATGTAAAAATATTTTATGTGTTCACTCGTTGGTTTTTAACTAGAATCAATTTTTTTAAGTGAGTTATGAGTATATTGTCAAATATTATATTTGAAAATGCTCATATAATTCACTTGAAAATTAAAATATCGTAAAAAACCAACGAGACAAGACATCATTTTTTAACTTATGTTTGACTATAGGTCAATTCTCTATAATATTTAAGATGACAGTATAAATTTGTAACTGCTGGACATATTAGTATATTACCCATACGTATCCCTAAGACGGAGAGAACATTATGTTATGTGTTTGCAATGTCCTCTTATTAGATTCTATTATTTATGTCAAGTACAAACTTGATATTATGAAATGTCAGTGGGTAACTGGGGATCCAGCTATGCAGAGTTCAGAAAAATGATTATCCAAATAAAATTATTATACATACAAGTAACCATATGCGTTTTGTCTTACATATCAAATAATAACTGATTGATGGTGGTCGGGTAATTTATATATGTGTATTATGGGCCGGGAACGAACCCGGTGAGTATCACACTGACACACCGACCGACCTGTGTATTTATGTATACGATATGTATTAGCAATTCGATCGCAGTGGATGGGTTCGCCGAGAAAAACTATCAAATGCTAGTGTGTGTAAGTGTGTGTATATGTGTGTGGGTGTATGCTTAAAACTAACAACAGAAAGGTAACTCAGAAAAATGTTAACTAAAACATAATGGTATTTAAATTGCTGCGTATTACGGTAAAAAGACAATAGAATTATAATAATGATGCACAGCAACAGACAACAATATTAATTAAGCACAGCCAAAATAGTACAATATGTATAATAATATCTGGCCCTCTTGGCCCAACAGAATAAAATATAGGTATGGCTACAAGTGAGCACAAGATACAAATTATTTATAATCTAGTATTAGTTATAGCGATATTGATATTAAAGAACATGCAGTTAAAAATTCCGAGAATGGCAATGGCCCCTCTGGCACCCCACTGCGAAAGCCCATGTATAGCTACCGTCGTTTTAGCAGTAAATTCGTAAAAACAATAATAATAATATGTATAAAAACTCACAAGTATGTCGTTGCACTACTGGAAAGCTTGCTACCTGCGCCTGCATAAATAATTTGACTCAAAAATAAATATAATAATAATATTATATAGTGACTTCCGCCCTTCACAGAATATGTAATAATAATATGTATGGTGATTCGCGTCTCAAAACGTATAAAAACAATAATAAATATTTGGCGATTCGTGGCTTTCACTATGGTAAAAATATGGCGATTCGCGAATTGCAAAACAATATAATATAATATAAACGTCGACCCTCACACCAAAACAATAATTTGTGGTTTGTTTACACTGGTGCTCGAAACTCGACTGCGGCGGTCGTATTACATAATTCGCTAATCTCGTTTTCTTTTCCCCACAAATTGTTGGATCTTTTGATACGCATAATCTATTTTATTAACTTTGAATAGTTCGTCAATTTCACTGCACTGCTGCTCCAACCATTCTTCTTTGGATTTTCTGGCTTCTCTGTTAACCTGATTCCTTAGTTGGCGATACTTTTGTTGTCCTTCTCTCGTGTTATTGTTTTTATATTTTCGTCTTTCATCTATAAGTTTTACTATTTCCTTGTCAATCCATGCTCTTCTAGGTTCTTTCTTTTTTTTTTTGTCAACACAGTATCCGCTGATTTTTTTGATAGCTGATTTTATGTTCTCCCACTTTTTATTCAGAGCGTCATCTACATTTTCTTTTCGGTATTCGATATCCATGTATCGTCCATATTGTTCCACAACCTCCGCTCTCTTAAGTAATCTGACACTATATTTGTCTTGCTGTACTTTTGGTCTTTGTGGTTTTTTATGTCTGAGTTCGAATTTCGCTATTACTAAATTATGATCACTGTCACAATCAGCGCTCGGGTATGCTTTACAGAATTTAACTTGGTTCTTAAATCTATTTTTCACCAGTATGTAATCTATTTGGTAACGGGCAATATCGCCTGACATTTTCCATGTATATATTCTTCTCTTAGGGTTTTGAAATCTGGTGTTCGTTATAATCATCCCATTTTCTCTGCAGAACTCCACTACTCTTTCTCCTCTTGAATTTCTCTTACCTAAGCCGAAGTCTCTGACTTCTCTACCTTCCCTGCCTTCACCAACTATAGCATTAAAATCTCCCATGATGATTACATTATCTTGTGGTTTAGTATGTTTCAATAGCTCTTCAATGCCTGCATACACTTCTTCCACTTCTTCATCATTTGCTTTTGACGTTGGCATATAAACTTGTATAATTGCAAAGTTGTTTGGTGTTGATTCTATTTTAACCAAACATAGTCTGCTACTAAAGGTCAAAAAGTTCGTAACTCTTGTTCCCCACTTCTTATTGAGAGCGATTCCAACACCTGCTTGTCCTTTAGTACCTTGTGTATGAATAACTCTGATATCGTCCGACCAAAAGTCACCATTATCTGGCCAACGTATTTCGCATTATCTTAATATTTCTATATCTACTCTTTTCATTTCTATTTTTATATTTTCCAACTTTCCTGTTTTCAGCATTGTTCGTACATTCCATGTTCCTATTCTCTGCATTTTGTTCTTATCACATGTGTCCTGCAGGGTAGCTCCCTCCCGGACATCCGAATGGGGAGCTATTTTACGTCCGCATACATTTTTTACACTGCGAGAATCCATTTTAGAAGACAAAATAGTGGTTGCCTAACCAGGGATGTTAATGTGGTGGTTTCCGCTTGACTTCCACATCGCAGTCCAATCCCTATTTCTAGAGATTGGTGGGCCAAGTATAGATAAACATTGTTCATCTACACTTAGTACTAGAAGAGCTGCTGCCCACTCCTAGGTCCATTTTAGTCGGCTCTTACGACAGGCATGGACAACTGAGGATGTATTCTAACCCACAGGGGTAATAAATACAAGATATAAATAGAGTAGCACTTTTCTTGGTTTTTAGTATTAATATATTTCATTTTTAATTATTTTTTTAATAAATATGATGTTAAATATTTGTAACTTAATACGCATTTGTAGTAAGGAATGATTTAATTATTTACGGTAGATATTCTAAGTTTTATTAATACGTATATTAACTTAATATTGTGATATCCAAATAAATATTAAATATATTATATATATGTATCGGTATAAACGTTGTGTCACTCTTGCAACAAAAATTAAAATTCTTTCTTTATGTCAAGTGCAAACTCGATATGAAATGTGAATGTCAGAAAAATGAATGTCAAAATTAATTTATGATACATACAAGTGCAAGTACAATTATGCGTTTTGTCTAACATGTATTAAATAATAGCTGATGGATGGGGGTCGGCTATTTTATATATGTGTGCGTGGTTGTGTTTAGAAAATCTAGATACCGAGAACGAAAACCAGAGAAGAAGAAAGTGGCGATAAGAAAGACCTATTTCAAAACCGATATAAGAAACAGGCATAAACCGTTAAAAAACGAAACCGGAAAAAATGAATACCGGTATTAACTTCCAAAGCAAAACCGAAAATATTATTTTTTTTGAAAATATTTGTAAGTTGAATATTTTGGGAAGCTTACTTTATACAAACGGCGATTCAAACGCACGATCCATCGATTCGAATAATTTTTTAAGCTAAAACTGAACATAAACAGTCCAGGCCTTGAACAAGATCTTATAAAAAGGTATAAACAGTGTAAAAACTGAAACCGAAAATAAAATCAAAATGAAACGAAAAACGAAAAAAATGGGAACCGGAATTATAATTTTAAACCAAAACCAAGAAAAATTGAAAACCGGTATTAAATCCTAAGCTGAAACCGAAAAAAATTGGAAACCGGTACACAAAATCGTAACTAAAACCTAAATTCTTTCAATTGGTTTCAATCCCAGATTTTTAATCTTTTAGCGTCAGAACAAATACCAAATGTTGCTAAAACTTAAAATCATTTTAGTTTCGGGTCAATTTCAGCCATCAGCTCCTGTGGATCGTTTAGCAATCGTTATGCATGTTTAAAACACTTCACATCACGGCCTATCCACACAATTTACAACTATCATTATTCATTATTAATACTATTTGTCCTGACCGACTTTCCTCCAGCTTAAGATTTACACTTTCAATAAATACATTTGTATGAAATGTATATGCCATATTTCTTTCAATCATAGTATTAATATAATATTTGACATGTAGCAACAATTAAATTTAACAAAAAAAAATGTATTTTTTTCGTAAAATGAAAAAAAAAATAATGCATGACCTACAAAAGTGTATGATGTAAATCATATAGCATGTACTCATGTAAGTCTTTAAACACCCTTCAAGTCACAAGGAACCTATAGATATAACTTTATTTAACTTCGGATGGACAAATTGCTTCGGAATGCAATGACAGCGTCACACAACTTAATCAACAACGAAAAACATAAAAAGTACGTCATGAAAAATAATAATATGAAAAATGTTACCGTTTTAATACCACGGCCTAAGAGATATAATAGACTTCAAAACGAGCAGCTTATCAGCGGCTTCGAAAGTATGTGCATGAGGCAAATGTGGGGGGTCGCAATCATAATCGAGAGTTTATAGAACCATCTGTATAAAACACGAACTAAGATACAAAATGTGAAGTTAAATAAAACCTCTGGTAGCGCTGAAAACGTTCGATTATGAGTGTGACCCAAATCAGCTGATCGAGTTTCGTTTCTATATTGTTCTATGGTTGTACATTGGTTCCATTGATAACGTATTCCAGACCTGTCTTACTGTCTTAGTACATGACACAGATGTACAGATGGATTGTTTTTATAAATATTTATTTGCTGTTATTTATAATCGAAAACTTTATAGGGCAAATGTTTGAAAATGGACTTATAAGAGCAATACCTGGTACGTTCATACTTTTAACTAATAACAAAGCAATAATTTAGTATGACTAACTTTATTAGAAAACTGTAAGTGCTGACTGTGTCTGTCTGTCCACCGTAACGGTATTTTACGGACATTTCTCGTAAAACTGATTGCACTTACTGTCCTTGATACAAAGACAATGCACAAAAATAATAATATAAAAGATATGAAGATTTGGTTTAAAAGAAGAATAGTATAAAATTATCCTGGACTTTTGCCACTTGTTTTTTATCTTTAATAAATAGTCTATACATACACTTATAAAATATAAAGGTACGCTAACATATTCTGTACTTTTTAAAAAAATAATAGTACCTATTCTTGGTTTTTATTTTAAATTCTTGGCCATTGTATTTTGACCTTCCATATAATTTTCAAAACTCTTTTTTGAGATTCGACATGGTAAAACATGTCATTGACTTATCTAGAAATATGATAGCCATTGTGATATTTACACTTCATAATTAGAGCATAATATTTCGGTTAGATATTTGATCCATTAAGTACGGAAAACTGAGTGGTAATCTCCACTGCACCAGGCTAAATTGTATATATCTTTATATGTTGTAATTGCGTTCAAAAGTTTATGAAGTTCATTAGAATGAAATAAAAAAAACAGTAACAATCTTAGATTGACATCTGTGTATTATATAATATAAATTATTTCTTCATAGATTTGTACGAATTTAACACTGATTCATTTCAAAAAGTACTGGCCAAATTCTGTAAGTATACAATTGGAATAGTAGTTATTTATAATGTTCTATCAAAAAATTGTATAATGCATGTATTGATTGTTGATTATTAAATGTATTGGAAATTGAAATAGGTAGTACAAATATGTCTTAATCGTATAATCAAATATGTAGATATTAATGAAAATACGTAAAGCGATCCTTAGGTTGTTTTAATGTAAATGCATACCTTTAGGCCAACAGTTATATTATCACATTTGATTATTTGAAGAAAACCTTAATATGTTTAGTATATTATTATAACTCTGAATCAGGGAAGAGGAAAATAATTTACTCCGAAAAAAACATATAATAAACTGTATTATTGTTGTATTACTCAGTAATATAACGATTAAATGTACCGAGTACTAACAATCGTAGAAGAAGGAAGAATATGGTTAGGAGGTAGATTTAAAAATATTTTTAAGGGTGATCTGACGTTCTAGTTAACGATTGTGCACTGTTTTGTTGCTACGTAGTATTTTACAATACAGATATTCAGGAATACTCTCCATATTGTTAGTGTAATATTCAAAAAATTGTAATAATTTTACAAGGCCTATTTCATATTCTTTCTCGTTGTTTTTTTATATGCGTACTATTTTATAATATAGGTATGTATTATTATCAACCTATTCAAAAGTATATAAAACTTAGTTTTTCGTGAATTTCTGTGTTTCCTTTTCTTGTATGGGTTATTATTTGAAATAATTGTTCTATTCATGTATTTAAGGTATATTTCAGTCCATTTTTTATCGGGTATAGGTTCATCGGCTACATTTATATTTGTTATACATTTTTAAGGCTCCTGTAGGTGATCTTAATTCACTTTTGTTGACACTATTTATTGGTATTAGTCTACAATAGGATGCTGGTTTGTACACAATTGATTCATATAGTTTAATTTCTATTTTGTTATACATTTATGAGCCTTTATTAGTATGTTTGAGTGTCTTGAACATAATGTGCATGATAATATTTTTAGTATCTATAATAAGTGAATTGTTCGATGAGGGAAACATTTTTGACTATTTAAACAAAAATTAAAAAAAAAAAAAAACTAATAATTTTATCAAAATATTTTATAATGCATCTATTGATTGTTGATGATTAAAATATGTATTGAAAATTGAAAGAGGTAGTAAAAATACGTATTAATAGTACAATAAAATACTATTTGATGTTCGATTTATAAGTATTCATTTATATATTATGTAGATATTAATGATAATACGTAAAGCGATTCTTAGGTTGTTCTAATGTAAATGAATACTTATAGTCCAACATATTGTGACTATTAAAATTGTTATATATATATATTAGTCTACAATAGAAAGCTGGTTTGTACAA